TATAGCTATCCAGTGACCAGTATCGACATTTTCTTAAAGCAGTTGAATCAGAGTTGTTTTAGTAAACACCTACCGCCGGCTGTATTATGTCTACTCTTTTATACCAACGATGGACGCAAACCCTCCCAGACCAGCCAATACAATCCCCACAGAGACCAAATTATATTGGTTTTAGGGTTGGCCTCACTCCTCAGGGCTCAGGCTTTTCCTAGGATCAAGCAAGATAGACTCGAGACTTGGGGCCCAACTGCCATGGGTGGGCTTAAGTCAGCCCAATGCTCAACTCGTTGGGTCACCCTGAAGTCTTGAACCGAAACAGATTGACTGAAGACAAAATCATGTACACCGGGCTGGGCTATCTATCACGAGTGAATATGCCGGTGTTCAGTACATATGAAGCCCACAGTGAGCACTGGCATGTTCACTCGTGATAGGTAGCCGAGACCGATATGCATGATTTTGTCTGCAGCTCATCTGGACTGCCTTGAACCTTCCAAATAGTTAGAGATTACAAAACTATTAACCATTAATATAATAATAGATTCAGAGAATTTAGGGCCTCTTTGATTCAAGGGAATAAGGGTCTGGAATCGGAATTCGAATTGCTCAATCCGATTCCAATCATTTGGTTGGGCGGAATTAGAATCCCATTCACATCCCTGGTGGAATGGAATCCACCCGTTTGAGAAAATGGTCATTCCCTCCCCCTCCTTTAGCAATTGAGATTTCATTCCAACTTATTCTAATTCCAATTCCAGAAAAGAACCAAACGGACTCTTAACGTACATTCAAATTGCATCAATGCAAAAACAACAGCCACAAAAACATACATATTGACAAACAACCCCTAAAATATAAAATGGGTTTTCTCCCAAAAGAAACTCCAATAAATGGTATAAATCTAACTTGAAATTAAAACATAATGAATATTCATTAGTATATGACCATGAGTTGCTATCAAGCATCTCCAATTTAGCATGTTTCTGGATTCTGCTATTTAATTTACAGCTTGGAATTAGAACACTGATGAATTTAAGCCTATCCATTTTCTCTGTTCTTTCAGATTTTAGAATTATAATTTATAATACCACTTTCCACATATACAGAAGTAATCTACATAACCATCTAGTTTTCCAAACACAGTCTTATTGGATCCTGCTCCAAAGATGGTGATAAAAAAAAGTATTCATAATTGTACATGCAATAAGAAATTCAAAATGGTGTTCAACAAAACTGTTCCTCAGTGTGGTGGTTATGTTTGGATTGCTATGGTATTAACAGAAAAAGCTCTTTTTACAGATCTGACATCTGAAAATAGAAATTCTGCTTTTTTTTAGGACATCTATAATATTTTTTTTTTAAAGAAAGTCATTTTAATCATCATGAACCATCTGAAACATGTTTGAACATGTTCCGCAATGGGTAACTCTTACTACAACAAACCTATTATCACATTTTAGATGTATTATATATTCAGATGTAACACAAACGAGATTTAACATTTGGAAAGCAAGTTTTTCAGATATCAGAGCCCCATTTCAGTGTTATCAAACGCGACATAAGAGATTTGTTTTTGTCATAACCTAAAAGTAGTGAAACAACATATTTTTTGTTGGTCAGAAAATTCACTTTCAAAAATAAGGGCTCTTGTTCTAGTAGGGAAAGTTCAATACATGGGAATTATGAATTTCAAAATTAAAATGCAATCAATATAATATTAGTGGAATTCCTTCTAAAACAAGGATTCAGTTCATGGATAGATGCAAATAAAGACATGAGAGGTGAGAAATATAATTCTAAACATACTGTAGAATAAGGATGAAATTTGCACTTTTGGTGAAGTGCCAAGTAGAGTAGCAAAATTACTAGTATATGAACTAAATAATTGGAAAAATAGAACCCATATTATTTGTTGAATGAGTTAAATGAAAGATTTAAGAAATAACCATCAGGTGGAATGAAAATTTGGTTTAAGAGAAAAAAAAAATTAATTATAATGTTCGCCACTCTAGCATTCATTTTTGAATTTCTTATATTAATGAATTTTTTGACATGATATAATTGTCTCTTATAAAAGATCATAGACAAAGTTAAATGATAATGTTTGAAATTTATGGCACTAACTCAAAGAGAAAGACTACCWAATAAAACAATAAATACTAGAAACAAAAATCACCATGAAAGGTCAGAAAAGGATCTAACATGTGATAATTATATATATAACTTGAAATTAAAATTTTGTTAATATCATTGACCTCGTCATCATCCAAGCGTTGTCCTCACCATATAGGGTTAGCTACATTGCTGAATCCTGTTTTGCTATTTGCCATATCTATCAGTAAACTATAGGCACTTCAATTTTTTTTTTTTTTTTATTTCCACCCAAGTCTTTTTCGGTCATCCCCAAGTTTAACAAGTGTTGTAGATGATATTCTATACACGTGACCTGGACCCCCATAGGAGCCACAAATCTTTTTTTTTTTTTCTTTTGTGGTGTGTGGCGGGGTGAGGATACAACAACATCAACTAATAACTCTCCTTTAGGCTGTGTTTGGTTTGAAAGAAAAAGTAAGCTTGTAAAAGTTTCCCTACTTTTCCTTTCCCTTCCTTACCTTTTCCTTCAAACCAAACATAGTCTTAAAGTCAATGGTAACGGGACTAGAATCCTTGCCTGTTGGAACAAACGAGCTAACATACCAACTGAGTAAATTGGCATTAGTTGATGATATGAACTGTTTAAATTAGATGGGTCAGTATATATGAAAACGAAGATATTGGCGAACACATAAATACCCTCTACACATGTAAAAGCAACAGTGAGAGTAGAAATCTCTAATTCTCAATGCCATTGTAGGAGCAGCATCCGTCTTTTGATAAAGGTAAATACCAAATAGGTGGCAAAATTATAGCACATGTAGCAAGTAATTTAAGAATTAGAAATAAGCCCTTCCTTCACAGACTTTCCTTCAAAAATGATAAGCCTATTAGAAGAGCTAAATAGCTTCTCCGTTGTCACCCATGACCTATGTTTTGATCAACTTGTGTCGATCCCTCTTTGATATTTTTATAGGGTCTAAAGTGGGCTGGACCAAGTTATCAAGTCCAGGTCCACACCCTCAGTTCTGATTCACAATCGGGTGAGACCTAAATCCATGTTTTAAAGAAGTTGGACTCTAGTGTCTCAATGTATTTGATATATCATTATATCATTTACCCAAGTAGCAAGGGTTTTACCAGTTCATGTTATGGGCTGACCATATGAATCCAATACAGGCAACCCGACCCTTCCCAATAAGGCCATGCTCTCAATATAAGGAAAAAGAAAAATGAAAAGGGTCTAAAGGGGTTTGACCCACCAAACTAGCAAAGAGAGATGAATCAAATGCCCTGTAGAGCCTTATATGGTAAAGTTGAAATAGTTGAAATGGATGAAGGCGTGTAATTGTAGAGGAAGTTGAAAGAGATGGGAGTATGGCCGTATGGGCTGCCAACGTATTCAAATCTACTCTTCCAAGTAGTCAATAATATTCCCTCACCAGCATTAAAATCAAGGTCTGTTCACAAGTAGAAGATAGATACAGTAGAAAAGGAATGGCATTACATAACTCCATGGAAGTCTGTGTGAGATGCATTAGGGTAGGTGTTGACGTGTTTTTCCTAATAGCTTTAAACAAAAGGAAAGGGAAATGTCAAGCTCTCTCAAAATGGAGACCAGAGACTCCATTTGTCTGTTTGAAAAAGATAATGTGATCGATATAGGCTTATAGGCTTGTTGTAGGTGGAGGAGCTAGCCTGTCTTAATCAAGAGCTCTAGTCGTTTTCAATCACAATTACATGAACTGTTTCAAGCCCATGAAGAGGAATTGACCCCTTACCCAATCAATCTGCAGCTGTTTATTTTTGGAGAGAGAGAGAGAGAGAGAGGCTAAAAGGATATATGTGGGTGTGTGAGATGTGTTGAGAAGGCAACGCTTGTCATCCACTAACAGCATTCATCTCATCATCTTCAGTGCCAAGCAGAGCTTTCCTTTCCGAACTTTATCACCAATCTTGGTTTGACTTGGCTTCTCCCAATGTTAGTTTAATCAACAATTATTTACCCCAATCACCTCTCTCTCTCTCTCCACCCCTCCCCCCACCAAGGACACAATCTCCCTCTCCTTCCATTCAATGTTTCAAGCTGAAGCATCCTGAACCATGGTTTTTTAAGCTACACTGAGAACAGATGAGAGATATTTCCGCACAAAATTCAGGGTATCCCTACTATTTATTATTGTTTCTAATGCATAGGTTCTATTAAGAGCCACATAGGACAAATAAAACAAGTGCAAAACCTGATGAAAAATGTAATGTTCTTGCCTCAACTTGAATTGAATATGGTCTAATTTATTAATAAAGTTGAATCTCCTATATGATTGATTTTTTTTCGGTAAAGATATGATTGATGTTCATGGGGCAGTATCACAAAGTTTTCCAAACAAGCTCTTGGTGCCAAATTACTAGGGTCTCTCTTTCTCTAGTCTATACCCATTTAGCACCAAATTGCTCTCTACCTCTCTCCTCAATTGGCCAATCAATTATTAGGGTTTTTCCACCTCTCCCTCTCTCTTCCTACACCCAATTTTGGCACCAAATTGCTTTCTCCCTCACTGTTGGCTAGTCAATTACTAGGGTTTCTTTCTCCTCTCCCTCCCCTCCACACCCATTTGATGCCCAATACTTCACGATTCACCAACCAAAATAAGAACATTTGGGAATCCTAATTCAAATTTTGGGTTGTGAATGGGATGTCCAATTCTTATCCAAAAGAGGGTCAAATCATTCATGCTAAACCCTAAAAGTTAGAAAGCCCATGACCCCCGGCCAATCAACAGGCTTTAATATGCCCTTTTGCTCCATCTCCTGTAAACATATAAAAAAGGCCTAATTAAATCAAAAAATGTTTAAAAGCCCTCGTTTGTACCAAATAATAACCAATTCCAATAATTGGGGGTAAAAGGTGAATAGAAAAATCTCTCCTTTTATTCAAAAAAAAAGATATTTATAAAAATACACATTTCACATTTCATCCACCGTTGAGATTACAGAGGAAAAAAAGGCAGGAAAATGAAAAGGAGAGAAAAAAAGGTCGGAAGAAAAGCTGAAAAATAAAGAGGTCGGAGACAGACACAGTTCTCGGTAGTGGGGTCTCACTTTCATGCGCCCAACTCAGCTCTGCACTGCACTCCATCTGTTTCTTGCTTGGTCGGTGCTGGGTCTGGGTCGACTAGCTCAGTGACTCGGTCTCCGTCTCGTACCCACGTACCAGTACAAGTGAGATCAATCGAATTTCGCTGAGTTCTCTCTGCTGAGTGGTTGAGTTGACTCATTTTGAATCGGCGGCGAGTTGCCAAGCGGAGGTGGCGATGAGGGGCCGAGTATGCCAACCCAACATCAGACACCCGTTGTTCTCTTCCACCCTGTAACCGTCCCCACCCGCAAACAAGGCTAACAGCATGCTAGCTTGCTTGAACGCGTTAGAGCCTAGGTGAACCGGAGCAAACCCAGACGATGCCAACCGATTCCGCCACTGGGTCAGGGTCTCGTGCCGCTCCACCCGCTCCACCCCTTCGCAAGCCACCACGTTGCAGATCTGCTGTCCCAGATACACCCCCGACATCACCTGGTCTTGACTGTTTGGCGGAGACATCCCGCAGCCTTCCAGTGAGTCGAACAGAGTCGAGTAGTAATGTAAAGCTTCTGTAAACCGGTCCAAGAAAACCGGCCCATTGTGGTTTGCTTCTTGTTCGACGATGGTCACGATCTTGGGCTTCATCTCCTTGATCGACGATAATACCTTCTCGATCGCCCCCGGCCGGGCCAGCAACCGGTGCAGTTCGAAGACGGAATTGACCGCCACGGCCTCGACTTCGCTCGGCCGGATATCGAGCATCGAAGCGTCGATGTCGGCCAAGCTGTTGGCGACGAACCCTCTGTACTCGAATTCGACGTGGATGGTCTCAGCCAGTCGGGCCAACTTCCACCCAACTTGCTGTAAAGCGTCGGTGTTGTCCGGCTGGGGAGGGCCTATACCAGTTAATCGGAAGGCAGGTGGGCCACCGGGACGCAGAGCGAGCGCCTGCATCAGAGCCGGCCACTGCATCCCCTGTTTCATACTAAAGTCGATGACGTGCACCCTACTTTTGCCGGCAAAGGCCTCCAGAATGGCTTGATTGGCTGTGAAATGGGCGAACTTCAAGTATGGACAGGTCTCGTAGAAATGCATCTGGAGAACATCGGAAAAGGACGATTCGAGGGAATCTTGAGGGTACAACCTATAAATTCGACGAGCCAGGGCTTCGGCGAAGTATGTGGCTACCTTTCTCATGGCGCCGGCTTGGGACACGGCGAGCAACCCAATCTGTTTGACGAGTGCCTCGGCCAGTTTCAGGTTGTCCTGTTGTACGGCCTCGGCGCAGGCCATCAAGGTGTGGACGAGACGGATCCCGGTCTCCTGTGAATCCACTAGTACGACCGACCGTGCCGACTCGGTCGAAACCCCGTTACTGACCCCTACAGGAGCAGGGGTAGCAGCCGGAGGCGATGACGAAGATGCGGACGTCGATGTCGATGTGGGTTTCATCCGTTTGTTCGACGGTTCCGTATGGCCGTAAATGGCTCCGCCTGGAATTGCTCTGAGATCGTAATCCGTAGGCTCATCATAAATTGGAGAAGGCTGAGCTATCTGCTGCTGCTGCCTGGAATTAGGGAAATCGACGGTGGTGATGGAGGAAGATTCAGCTGGAGCTAGAAGCGAGTCGTCGAGGGACTGAGGAAGAGAAGGTTGTTGAGACGGAGTAGGATCAAAATTGGGAGGAGCGTTGAGCTCAGAAAGCATACTCTCAAGCCAAGTACCAAGATCAGATGGGTTGTAATGAACCGTCTCAGAAGCAAGATGGGAAAGCCCATCCTCCTGAGCACTGCCCAACACCATGTCCAGCTGCTCCAGCTTCTGCGCCACCTCCGCCATCTCCGACGACCTAACCTTGTATCCCAACACGGCCAACAGCTCATCCACTCCCGCATCCTGCTGCTCCAATTCATCCCACATCTTACTCTTCCCCGCCGCCGCCATTGAATACCCTCCACTGCTCCCACCTCCTCCACTTGTACTCTCTTGATGCTCTCTCTTCATCTCCCGTTTTTCTCAAAATCCACACAGCGATACTGTTGAGAGACCGTTGCTTCGCTTCAGAAGCAGAAGAAAAAGAAGCAAGAAGAAGAAGAAGAAGAATCTGGTCTTATAACGCAGAAGAACTTGGTTTTTCACTTCTACCATCAGAAGCTAATAAGAGACTCGTGACGGGCGCGGGCTCCAACGAACCCACAGTGAACAAGTCCTCTCCTGGGAGATAAGAAAGGCGAAACCCCTCTCTCTTTCTCTCTCTCTCTCTCTCTCCTCTGCCTATAAATAAAACCCAAAAATAAAAATGAGGAAAACCTCTAAAAATCTTTTTTCTCTCTCCTTATCATGTCCACAAATCTCAGATCGAACGGACCAACAGCCAACTTCTCTTTCTCTCTCCACCAATAGTTTCCACCAACACTATTAAAAGATAAAGGAGCCGTAGAGGTACCGCAACCCCATGAGCTCTGATGGACCCAAGGGGGCTTGCCACCTGTCACTGACACTCACTACAGTTAATCCAGATTAAACACTGTAAGTCACAGTGGACAGAGATCAAAAGATGCCTCCTCCGCCTTGCACCGTGTAATTAATTTGCATCATCCGTAATAGACGCTTTACTCCCCCGCCCTACACGTGTCCCAAACCAGGTACGTGGGACCACCCCCGCCCTCCGTAGGGTCAATGATGATGCGCGTATCTCAGGTGAAATGAATCGTGCATATAACAAAATTGGTATGGTTGGTAGGGACGAAAATGGAAAATTAAGAGAAGGCGAGGGCGTTGCGCGTACGACTCGTAATAATGATTGATTAAAATCACTGTGACCGTAGGATCTCGACCTAGTGGGGTCCACCACTGAAACCTATGGTGTATAGGATAATGGGAATGGAACACTGTAATTATTTCCGTTAGACTTAACGGCGTTGGTGCTCAGCACGAAAAAGCTTCTCCCTTTTTAATGCCGTCCCCATCACGGACGTGACGTCCCCACGATGCTTCCCTTTCCAACACGAGACTACGAGAGAGATGAGATAGGACTTGGGAGGCGACGCCGCACTGCCAATCCACCCCCCGTCCCCCACTCACCTGGACCATCACCACGTGATCATGACACGTGTTAACATGCAGTGGTCCCCACTGATTTTCCGTAGACTAGACTAGGCACCTCGCCGGAAAACGGAGTTGAGCAGACAGCAGAGTGTGACCCGCTTGGGTTTCGACGCCCTTCCCTGGCGGTGGCGGGCTGGCGGCTTCGCTCATCGCTCCTCCCCCTATCTTAGAAGAGTCTTCACTCTCTCATCTCTCCACTCTGCTTTTATTTTCCTCATTTATTCGAAATAAAAAAATTCTTATTTCGATTTTTATTAATTTTTTGTTTACTTTCATTGATGAAATTGTTTAACCGTTTATTTAAGAAAACCACGCATGCGTGTTGACCAACTTGTCCAAGAACTCGCCGGCCTTTCTTTATCAAATGAGACCCAACCAATCTAACGGCCGAGATTCTTCATCTTTGAGACTAGTAGGTCCCACCAAATTCCTAAATTAGTGCCGATGGGTGGGCCACAAATGGGTGATTCAAAATCAGAGGGGCTCGACAAAAAAGGGGTCATTTGTCAGGTCCCAGAGGCCAGCGCAGATAGAAATACAGGGTTTGAAGGTTTCCTCTTGTCCTCCCATCCTGGTGTGAGTATTCCCTTCATCGGAATTGGAACTCAAGGCCCAATTAATTATTAATTAATTGTCCGATTAATTATTAATTACTTCTTTCAATTAAACGCTTAATTTAAGGTGAATAAGTACGTATTGGAATCCGGGCATAATGTAGTGTAGTAGCAATTGTAAAATAAATCAAAGGAATCAAACGCCGATCTCGACGCGAGAATCCAATTATTAATAGAGTAATTAGTGTTTGTTAAGTAGGATTAAAGGCTTAATCAAATCTAATGTACTTTGTTTATGGGGGTGATGGAGTTTTCGGGCCGGCAAGAGATCCTATAAAATAAACAGGTATTACAAAATAGATTGATTAAAATAAATAATCAGAGATTAATTGGAATTCCAATTTGTCCGGAGGAATTCCCATGTGCGATTCCATCCAGGGATTTGAAATTCCAGGGTCTGCACTCTGCAGTGGCAGATGAACGGAGAACCAGAAATCTTATCTCCCAGGAAGGAGGGTTGCACTCACATGAGATATAGGTACCATTATTTGCTTTTTTTATTCAAACCAGTGGATGAGAAATTTTGGGTTTTAATTGGGATTAGAAATGAAAAAAATGGGTTGTGGTTTAGGGTTTAGAGGGCAGTGTTTGGTATTTTGGTGGATAACTTGAATTATTTAGTGAATTTTAGAGGGTAGAGGAGGAGGAAAAATGCTTCTTGTTTTTTACTTTTTCCGTTTATGGTAAGTTGGCGGGTTTTGATTCTGTCCATTCAGAGAAATCAGAGAGAAAGAGAGAGAGAAATTGTATTCCGATTTCAGAAATTTTAAATCTCATGTGATCATTCGTACAGAGATGGGAGGGTTTCTGAATTCTGATGTGAGTGAAGGAGAAGGGATGCTTTAGAAAATACTTTGGAAAAAGCAAAAGTAATTTTTTTTAACAAAAAAAAGAAGAAGATAAATAGGAGGAATAGGGAGGAGAGAAGTGATAATAATGATGTCAAATCGGTTGTCAAAAGGGAAAGAAATGGACTGGAGTAATGTAGAAATATAATTGGGGAGGTTGAAAGACAGAGGACTCCGGTCCGATGGTCCCACCTCCACCACCAGCCTTCCCCCTGACCGTACGACAGGACACCATCATGATAAGCATGTGAGGTGGGGGCGGTGGTGAATTGGATGGTGGGGCTTACACTGAAGCACACATAGTCCCTCATTGTACATTGGAAGCAGAAAAAAAGGGTTAAATCTATAGTGTTCTGATAATGACCATCCATGGCCCAACTCAGAGGTGAGAGAGAGAGAGAGAGATGGGAAGGCTGTGGTCCCCACCTGGCCCTTTTCTCGTAGGACCCACTACCTTTTTCACTGCAGAGAGGGTGGGAATTGGGAAACATTCAACCCCCCTCCCCACCACCACCACAATCTTCTAGATCATCATCTCATTGTGATGAACATCCTCATCTAAGCTTATCACCAGAGAATCATTTACTTCTGGGGTCTCAATTCTCAAGGGTTTTTGATTGGTGTTGGATGGATTAATAAGTTGATTTTGGTGTGTGAATGACCAAATATGAGCTCAGGCTGAAAAAATTGGACCCAGTTGAGAAGGATGTTGAGGGTCAGAAACTCAGAATGAATTGGGTTTGGCTAGTTTTGAGTTGGGTTCTCTCCATCAGTCCATCTAAATCTAATCCATCCAAGTAGAGGCCATAGAGCTCTATCCCAGTAGGTCGAGTTCTGTTGCTTTCATTTAGACCTAACTCCTAAGCTAATGGTGTCTGTGCTGTGTGTATAGATAGATAGCTTCAACATGAATTTCTGTACAAGAAGGGAAGAATCTGGCATGGTTTCAAGAATCGCCAGCCTTAGTCCTTGAATTGAGCAGTTGAAGTTGGCTTGAGGGGGGTACATGTTGGACTGCTGTGGAGATGACGACTAGGGCTGGTTAATAGGACAATCCTCGAACTCACTGGAGCAGGTTTCGTATGCTATTCATCAGTTTACACTGGAACCAGGGGAAATGAGTTTGTAACAGACTCATGTCAGGATCCAGCTCAATCCCCTTTTATTTATTCAACAACTTATCTCTTTTTCTTTTTCACTTTATTTAATTTTTAGCTAGCTCCCTTTTCCAACCTGTTTTGATCCATTTGGTCAAACCGGTGGTTTGGTCAGAATCCCGGTTCGAATCAAACTTTAACCCACAAAAAACCTTCACTAGTCTCAGTGAATGACCCATCGACCCAAATGATTGAACCATTGGTTTATTATCTTTTTTAATTTTTTTATCAATGCTAATAGCAGGTTGACCCATTGACAGTTGAACTACTGACACGTTATTAACCCAGAGATAAAACGATTCAGCATCTGACTGGGTTTTAAAACACTGGTTTGTGTTCAGTCAGAACCGGATATCCCACCACCGATCACAAGGTCTCTCTCTCCATCTTTGTGAATTGTGATTCCCAGACAGACACCATCCACCCATGAAAGTTTATCTCCTGGGCAAACAGGGCCTCTATTGGCTGGACGGCCCTTGTACCTGCCGACAGGCCTCTTCTTAAATTCAACAAATGGAGGGATCAAATGGTTGTGGGCATTCAATCAAATCAAGCTCAAGCTGCAGCACCAGATCTCTCAGACAAGACCTAAATCGATGGAGCCCATCTCTCCATATATGTGAACCATGAATGATGGAGGAGGAGTTGGAAAACACTCTCAGCCTACAAGGCTGAAACTCTGGTTATATACATCTTTGTATATATTGTATTGGAATTTGTATTCTTTGGTCTCTCTGAGACACTGAAATCTTTCATTAGGCCCACCTGGTTGTTGGTGCCCATAAGGAAAGATCCGATTATCAGTATCACTACCTGTGTCTAGGTCCCATTTCTTTGTTCTAAACCTACCTTCATTGTCTTGTTCATATGTCAGTTCATAGAATTTTAAGACTAATCACATTATTTTTGGGTCATTATCCATCTAAGTGCTATGTATTTGCTTTAATCCTACCACTTCCTATCTGTTTTTCTTTCAATTAATACCCAAGGTTCAAAGTATAATATACATGATATATATAAATATAATACATGCCATACCACCAATGTCAGATATCTCACATTAGCATCCTATATTATCAATAAATGGATCGTAGCATTTTACCACGCTTTATAGTCCTAGTGCCCACGCAGACTAGCTTTGCACAAGTCCATCTAGCCTCAGCCAAACACTCTAATACCAACGTCATCACTTGTACTGCACGATTGCAATTGGGAGATATAGTATAGGCTCTAATACCATTTGTTACAGTCTTAGAAGAACTCACCACCAAAAGTTATCTGTTATAGGGAGAGAATCCAAGCACATATATACCCTACAACAGCATCCCATATTATCAATATGGGACAAACGTAACATATTTAGTTTATAATTGATTCGAAAACCAATACATACCATACAATACACACTGATAATTTGAAAATTGTTCTGCCATTTAAATATAAATATTGATCTAGGGTTCCTAAGTAACAGTTGAAGTGGCTGAACAAAAATGATGACTTGCTGTTTCATTCTTTAGTGAACAAAGTGATCC